CATGCGTTCTAGCGTCTGTGCGATGCTCCAGCTGCTCCTGGAGGATCGCGCAGGCGCTGTATGCGTCCTGCGCATGTGTAGAAGCGCAGAACTCGTCAAAACCGGGTAAGGACCATGGGCGGGCGGGCACACCCTCCGCCATTCCCGGAAGTTACTTACTTCCGGGTTCGCCGACCAACCGGTTCGCAGGGAGCGCCGCGAACCGGTTGAAACCCACCCCTGACAACAACCCTGCAGCTGCAGGGATTTCCATGGCTTTTTAAAGAGCCCTTGCATCATACTCTACTCGCTTCCATTCATTTTCTCAAATGAGGATTCCTGCTTTTTACAGGATTCATATACTAATCCTGTTCACTACCAGCCCAGAGGTTACTCCAAGCAGAAAGAGGTTGACAAGGACTGCACATCCGCTATCTGGGAATTGGTGTTGCTTTCTAAAATTCCCAGCACTAACATCTGGGTCCCCTCCCTTCTCTGATTCTCAAGTCCAGGGTGGGATGAAGCAGAGGCATATTTTTACCTTGTTTCTAGGATCTGCTGCCTAATGGTTTTGACATACTCAAAGCTGTCAAAACAACAGATGTCATAGACCAAGATGTAGGCATGAACACTCCGGAGGCCTCGGCAGCACACGTCCGCCCACTCCTGCAACACAGACACAGAGAGGGACAGATCAGGGAACACACAGGGCACAGCTCCCCAGTGGTACCACCCAGCCCACCCACATACCCACAGCTTGCATCAAGGATGGGGAAAGTTTGCTCCCGTTGAGTATCCAAATGCTCTGATCCATTCTTAACTAGCAAGAAGCACTGGGGGCGGGACAGCGAGAAAGAATCAGAAAAGGAAGCCCTCCAAATCCAGTTTAAAAATGGAACTAAAATTAAATAGAAAGAAGACCAAACTAGTCACAAAAAATAGAGCAACTGGCCTTAGAACTGTCAGTGGTGATACTGAAGCGATTGGTCGTGTCTAGTTTTGTAGAACGGGCAATCAAGAATAAAAGAGTCAATAATCAAGAAATATCTCCCTGACTAGCACTTGTTGGGATACCTATGAAGGGCATGGAAAAGATATTCAGATGCTGGGATGCTTCTACACCTGCAAAGATTGGAATTATCTAAGCAATGGTTTTTCTGTTGATACTTCATAAAAGCAAAGAATGAACTTTGAAGTTAGAATTTTCAAATATTTTGAAATTTGATAGAATGTTGAAGATGATTAAGAATACCATAGATCAGTGATTGCTAACCTTTTTGGTGCCGAGTGCCAAATGCACATGTGAAACCCCAAAATGTAATATGAGCGCCGCAGTGCATGCACCCTGCCCCGTGCATGCAGCCCTCCCCACACATGTGCACACATCTCCCACACATGCGCCGCACCCCTCCATCTCCCATTATTGGCTTCCAGGTTGGTACAGGAGGTCTTTCAGGCCCTAAACGGGGTGCGAGGGGGGAGTGTGGCTGAGCATGAACCCCCCCAAATGCGATGCAAGTGCCCCCCAGATGCACCCCCTGCACATACACATATTCATCCCCCGCATGCGTCCCGCCCCACGCGCATGCGCAGTGGAGCCCCAAAGAGCAGCTGGCCACCAGGAGGTGCGTGTGCATGCATGGTGGAGCTGGGCTGGGGCGAGGGCTGGCGTGCCCACAGAAAGGGGTCTGCATGCCACCTGAGCCATGCGTGCCATAGGTTCGCCTTCACAGCCATAGACAGTCAAGAAAAAGAAAAATAATGTTCCCTAGAACAAATCCATTCAAAGTTCTAACTTGAGGCAAAATGTCCAAGTTTAAATTATCATGAATGAAGGGGAATATACATGTCCCAGGATAATGTTGCAAGATTCAATTTGGGTCGGTCACTGGAACCAGAGGTTTTGTCTTCTGAGCTTCTGGACTCATGCTGGAGCCCATCCTCAGGGCACTTCTCTCTAGCAGAGCTTTACATTATCATATTTTGGACCTATAATGTGAAGTCATTTCAGTATAGAAACGTTCATAATGTTGGGAAAAGTAGAAGAAAAGGAAAACCAGCAGCAAGGTGGCTGGATTTAATTACAGTAGTGATGGATGCACCATTGGAAGAACTGAAAGGCCAGGTTGGGAACAGATCTTCCTGGAGAAGATCTACCTACCAATCACAGGTGGGTTGCTCACGGTTCAGCCCAGATCGGGCGAACCAGTAGTAGCAGCGGCGGGAGGCTCTGCCCACCCGCCCAGACGTTTATGCACATGACCACAAGTAAACCGGTAGTAAAAAAAATTGGAAACCCACCACTGCTACTAGTATATGACAACTAAGAATCAGTACTGGCAAATAATCAATCAGTCAATCATTTAATGGTAGAACTGGCGTTGCCTACAGGTTTACAGTGACCTCTCTCAAAAATGCGCAGTCCCAGATAATAAACAACAGTACAATGGAGACCTCAGTGTTAAGCATAAGACTAAAACTCAGGAGTATCAAACGTGATTTCATTGAAGGCTGCATCAGGGTTCACCTTGGGGGTCTGGGGACCCGTGGCCAGCTCAACATCACTCGTGTCAGGGGTCCCTGTGGTGGCTCAAGCGCTCTATCTGCAAAAATGGAGCTCAGGTAGGCCACATGTGGCCCTCCTCAGCTCAGCTTTCATTGGCGGAGAGTTGCAGGAGGCCGTCGCAGCTGAAAACAGGCCGGTCCTTCGCTGTTTCCAGGGCAGCCTCGTGAGCCAGATCTAAGTACCCCATGGGCTTAGAGCTTGACATCCCTGCTATAACTAATCCTTTGATGTGAATTGAAGTATTTCTTATTAATGCTAAGCTTAACTTTGGATGGAAAGTCAAGTGATCTTATGTATGTAATACTGACATAGTGAATTACAATTCATACTGATCGTATTTTTATTCTTCTCTTTTTCATTTTCGTCACTATACGCTTTCTAAAGAAATAAATAGAAATAAATAAATAAACAGAATGCTCATAATTGTAATCATATTACTGCACATAAATAGTACTGCTTTGAAATCTGCATTGGAATGATAGAATAGATCAAGATTTATAACCGTACAATAAAAGAGGGGAAAAAACAAAAAAGAAGGCCATAGAATACGGGATTGACATTAATTGACATCATTTTATCACACCTTAGCATATGCCTGCATATTAGTATTCAAGTTAGAGTTTAATTCTTGTATTGCAATTCACAAGTGTGAACCATGCTGCTTCTGTGTTTTATGGTAGAGAATATGTTACCTGTTGTTCAAAAATCCAATAGACATACCACTACTTAGTTTTGACGTTATTCAGTTTAATGAATCTAAGGGTTAAAAAAAAATACTTCTCCATTTTTTGAGAATTTTGTTTGCATTTATTTCCTGGGTAAGATTTCTACTCATGTACTACAGAGTTTATCTGTAATAATAACTGGTGAAAATCTTTTCAACTCTCATTTTTAATGAAGGTCTCTCTTTTTTTCTTCCATTATTTTCAACAGTTAAAAATACCAGGATTATTATACTGGGTAAGATGAGATGGATACTTTTAGAAGGATTTGTTTACCTCCATGCAGGAAATAAGTACATTAAAATCTATATTTTATAGCTTATTAGACAACTAAGAATGACCAAGGATGAGCAAAAAAAGCAGTGGGAGTAGGAGCAAATTTCAACTTCCTGACTGTTTCCCTATTGAGTTTCCTTATGGAAATCTGGCAGGGAACATGGGAAATCTTTCCTTCCTTCCTTCCTTCCTTCCTTCCTTCCTTCCTTCCTTCCTT